TGTAACTCCATTTTGTTTTCAAGATTTTGGATCATTTTTATTATCATTATTCTAAATTCTTTTTCAGGTAGATTCCCTATCTCCTCCTCTTTTGTTTGACTTGGTGGGCTTTTTTCATGTTCCTTTACCTGTTGGGTATTTCTCTGCCTTTTCATCTTGTTTAGATTGCTGTGTCTGGAGTGGGCTTTCTGTATTGTGGTCTGTGGTTCCTTTTTATTGTGGAGGTTTCACCCAGTGGGTGGGGTTGGACGATTGGTTTGTCAAGGTTTCCTGGTTAGGGAAGCTTGTGTCAGCGTTCTGGTGTGTGGAATTGGATTTCTTCTCTCTGGAGTGCAATGGAGTGTCCAGTAATGAGTTTTGTGATGGGTCTATGTGTTAGGTGTGACTTTGTACAGTCTGTATGTTGACACTCAGGTCTATGTTCCTGCGTTGCTAAAGAATTTGCGTGGTATGTCTTGTACTGGAGCTTATTGGCTCTTGGGTGGTGGTTGGTTTTGGTGTAGGTATGGAGGCTTTTGGATGGTCTCTTATTCCTTAATGTTCCATGTAGTCAGGAGTTTTCTGGTTTTCTCAGGTTTTGGGCTTAAGTGTCCTGCCTCTGGATTTCAGTTTTATTCTTCCAATAGTCTCAAGACTTCTCCAACTATACAGCACTGATAATAAAACTTCTAGGTTAATGGTGAAAAGATTCTCCACCGTGAGAGACAATCAGAGAGGTTCACAGAGTTACATGAAGAATAGGAGAGGGAGGAAGGAGATAGAGGTGAGCAGGGGACTCAAGAGGTGAGAGACAGATCTACGCAGTTATCTGTTCCCAAAGTGTTCTCCGTAGCCCAGACACCCACAGAGATTCACAGAATTGGATTGGGAAGAGAAGGGGAAAGGAGGAAATAGAGGTGTTCTGAGGTAGAAAACAGAGAGTCAAAAGTGGGAGAGTAATCACCACACTCCTGAATAGAAATGGGAACTGAATATTGGATTCTTAAATGTCCAAAATTTATATCACATACTGAAAAACAAAGATTAAGAATCTAGTGTAGAGGTTAGACTCTTTCAAATACAATATTTAAAAACAAAAACAAATTTAGAAATGTATATGAAGTTTGGTTTAAAAATAGGGTTTCTCTCTTTTTTTTGCAACGTTATAGTGAAATGAAAATGAAAATTAAGGAATAATAGAGGAGTATTAGAGGACTTTAAAAGGAAATAGGAGAGAAAAACAAGAAAAGAAAAAAAAATTTTTTTTCCCTAATTAAAAAAATTGTAAAAATATATGAAAATGAAAGTTGAGGAGTAATGGGGGCGTAATAGGGAATTTTAAAAGAAAAGAGAAAAAAATAAAAAGGAAAAAAAAATATTTTTTTAATTAAAAAAAAAAACATATATCTAGGAATTTCTCTGGAGTTGTTGCGGTCAGTGTCGGTTCAGTTCAATTTCAGATAGCTCCTCTTTCCACTTTACACTTCTGGATATCTGTAGGCCCCTTCCGGTGTAGTCGGTGTTACCTTCAGGGATTTTAATCTGTTGCACCGGTCCTTTCTGAAGTGGTTCCCTTTGTTTATTTGGCTTCTGTTTGCCGTCTCTTTGGTGTCTAATTTCCGCCCTGACACAGGCGGGTGGAGGTGATCTCTTACTTAGGTTCTCTAGTTCAGTTCAGTCCTGCTACGGGGAGGGTGGGGCGCTGCAGACAGATACCGCTCTGTGTGGATAGCACTCACCGTGTTCCGGCCACACTGGGTTTGCCCCGCTCACGGGTGTCAGTGCTTTCCCCGTGTACACTGCTCAGGCTCCCGGCTGCTCTATATGGGGCGGGCCCTGCGTTGAGTGCGGTTCCAGTTTTCGGGTAGTCCACAAAAACGCGAATTCGGTTGCGCCTGCGTTTTGTGCCTTTCCCGGCCTGAGCGGCTCAGGCAGCCAGGGGCTTGGGCGCACTCTCCCCGGATGTGGCGCGCCTTTTCCCTCCGCGTCGAGCGGCCCAGGCAGCCAGAGGCTTGGGCGCACTCTCCCCGGATGTGGCGCGCCTTTTCCCTCCGCGGCGAGCGGCCCAGGCAGCCAGAGGCTTGGGCGCAATCTCCCCAGTACGGCCCGCTTTTTCCCTCCGCGGCCCCAGCGCGCGCCGCCAGTCGGGTCTCAGGAAGTCTTTAGATAGGAACCGGGGGCCTGTTTGCAGTGTGGGAGGGGGTGGCTTCTCAGCGGCTGAGTTTGCCCTTTTCCCCTACCCCCTGCCTCCAACCTCCAGCGGGGATGGGCCGGCTCTTCTCTGGACTTTCTCAGTCCCTTTGTTTTGCGAACTGCAGGCAGTGTGTTCCGGCCGGTTAATTTTGACCCTTGCTATCCCACAGTTTAAAAAAAGCTCCCTCCGATTTCTCTCAGGGTCTTCGGGCCGGTCCTTACCCTAAGCAATGCCGCCCGCTCCTCTCCGTTCCACCCCCGCTTGTTGTTGGCGGGTGCGGGCGTCTGGGGTACTTTTCTGCTGGGAGTTACTTTTAGGCACGTAATCTGTGGGCCTTGTTTAATTTTTCCTCCCAGTTAGATTGCCGAAAACTTCCCCCAGTCCCGCCAGTGTGAGGGTTTCCTGGTGATTGGAAACTTCCTCTATTAAGACTCCCTTCCCGGCACAGGTCTCCGTCCGTAGCTCTTTTGTCTCCCTTTTTATCTTTTATATTTTGTCCTACCTCCCTTCGAAGACAATGGGCTGCTTTTCTGGGCGCCTGATGTCCTCTGCTAGCGATCAGAAGTTGTTTTGTGAAATTTGCTCAGCGTTCAAATGTTCTTTCGATGAATTTGTAGGAGAGAAAGTGGTCTCCCCGTCCTATTCCTCCGCCATCTTCCCTGGTATGCTTTTATTATCAGAATGTAATTCTGTCTTATTCTTTTTTTCCCCTTATAATTTCATGTGATTGATTTACATCATTTTCTGTTGCTTCCTTTTTTGTGGTTTAGGGTGGCATTTTTTTTTTTTTTCATTTATTTTTATTAGTTGGAGGCTAATTACTTTACGGTATTGTAGTGGTTTTTGCCATACATTGACATGAATTAGCCATAGATTTACATGTATTCCCCATCCCAATCCCCCCTCCTGCCTCCCTCCCCATCCCATCCCTCTGGGTCTTCCCAGAGCACCAGCCCTGAGCACTTGTCTCATGCATCCAACCTGGGCTGATGATCTCTTTCACCCTTGATAGTATACTTGTTTCAATGCTGTTCTCTGCTGTGGTACATATACACTATAGAATATTACTCAGCCATTAAAAAGAATTCATTTGAATCAGTTCTAATGAGATGGATGAAACTGGAGCCCATTATACAGAGTGAAGTAAGTCAGAAAGATAAAGACCAATACAGTATACTAATGCATATATATGGAATTTAAAAAGATGGTAACGATAACCCTATATGCAAAACAGAAAAAGAGACACAGATGTACAGAACAGACTTTTGGACTTTGTGGGAGAAGGCGAGGGTGGGATGTTCTGAGAGAATAGGGTGGCATTTCTTACAGAGCTCCCTCTGCTGTTGTTTTTGGGAACTCTTCAGAAGTGTGGCATTTGCTTTCTAAGATTTCTAAGGCTTTGCTCTCTTCCCCACTATTCTCATTTCTTTATATTCATTAAATTCAATGCACTCAATTTTGATTCCATGCTCAGTAGTTTATGCTCATTGTGACGCTGTTAGTGAGAGGTCAGTTTAAAGAGTCCATAGAGGCTAACTGCCCCAACCTCAGACTTCAGGTAGATGCAGAAATCCTTCCAGTTAGAGCTGGTTGAGGAGTCTCTCTTCTCAGATGGGTCAGACACTGTGTTTCCTTCTGCTGCTTCTCATACAGTGCAGCATCTGTTGGCGATTTGTTCCCATGTACTATTTTAGGGAAATTTATGGAGATTCCTTGTCACCCGGTTTTGTTGTAAATGTGGGTTTGGGTGTTTAGGGATGCTCAGAAACATTGCCACTGGTTCCATTGTCCCTGAATCTTTCTAATTTATCATTCTTTAATTTCTGTTTATGGTGTTGCCTGTTTCTTTGATAAAATCTTGTCTTAATTAGATTATAAATTCCTCTAAATAGTGCTTGAATCTTAGTTGAAGTGTTATTTTATATTAAAAATAGCCTTTACAGCATAGCCCTGGACATATATGCAATATGTCATATCAGTCATCAATTGGAAATTTGTCAGTCTAGTGTAATTATAGGCTAATTTGCAACCTTGTAATGGTAGGATTAATAGTTACTCTTACAGATTGAAGGGAAACATAGAGATGTCAGCTGGCCTACCTGTCCATGAGGTTCATTCATATGTCCTCTTTGGCATATATGCTCTAGTCTGGTCTAAACATTCCTGCAAGACATTGATCTAATGTACTAATATTTCCAAAAAGTCCACAAAATAATAAGCATCATAGAAACATATAGTAACATAGAAAATGTTATCTGACAGAGTGATAGCTCATTACTGTCACAGTCCCTGAATATTGTAAAAGAAATTTAGAAACTCTTCAGTGAAGCAGTTAAAATGGTCAAGTTAATATAAGATTCTTTTAAAAGACTAATCCCAAACAAAGAGAAACTGAAGATTGACCAATTTGTTTATATGAAGAGGCAAAGGGGTGAGGATGAGATATGATAGAATTTGATAAGATTGTGATGGGAATTAAGGAACACAAATAATACTTTTAGTTAAAGGAAGCATTAGTTTTTATTGGGAAGTAATTCTAAGGCCCTTTTTATCCTAATAACATCTCACTTCTTTTGCTTCTGAATCTGATAATCTAAAAAATCAGCTAAGAAGTCAGTTCCCAAAACACAACAGAATCTGATTTGATAAAACATTCTAAACTATATTGTTATGATGGTGTTTTTTTTTTAATGTTTCTTATTTTTACTTCCTTTGTCTTCCTTATTTAAAGGAATTATATTTTTAATTATAAAGATAGATTATTTACTTTGTAATATGTTCCATTTAAAATTACTTCTAATTTTTACCTTTAAAAAATCTTTCACAGGCCTCAACAAATAATGAAAGCTCTAATCACAGTTTTGGAAGCTTGGGATCTTTAAGTGACAAAGAATCAGAGGTAAGTAACTTTATTTTTAAAATGTCGCTATTAAAGGAAAAATTGGAATCACCTTTTTTAAAACTAATTTTTTTCCTTCTTTAATACTTGTGCTTAATGTTAATCTTTGTTTTTTGTAGGAGCATTTTATTCTGGTTTAGAAGCATAGCATTAGACTGAAGACTATTTGACATTAGAAAGAAAATATAATTTCTTTGGTTATGTAGATGAATGTTTATATTAATGGTATAGATGTTCTTAAGTTGCTAGACATTCTAAGAGACGAACATGATTTTTGTAATATGTTGTTTTTTCACCGTTTTCTACTATTTCTTGTTATACTTCCTTCTTAGTTTGGTCCTGAGTAAAGGTTTGTTTACTTTTTGAGATACAGATACACATTTTTTTGTTTTCTTTTTGAAATTTCTTGTGGGATTTCATGCTGTTGGTTTTCAGTTTACATGCTTAAAAATATCTGAAAAATTCCTTCCTTTCCTACCCACTTACTCTTCCCATTAAGAAAATACATGGAATTTTATAAGTAGGTATTTGGATCCATGGTATAGTTCACGTTGAGCATGATGTTCTTGATGGCATTTAAAAAAATATTTAGACAGGAGGTTCTTTGGGTATTAGCATTCATTTGTTGATCCTGCAACTTCACTTTTTGCAAATAAAAGTCTGTAATACTTCCTCTTCTCAGATTACAGAGTTCTGTCACTTACTTTTCAACATTTGTGCGTGTGTGTATGTATATTTCTCCTGTCAGTGTTAACTTATTTCTGTTTGATCCATTTTTAGTCTTTTTTCTGCTTGGTTTAGTGTAGATTTATCACCATGATAATAATACCAATAGGTCATTAGCACCCAGTTACTCTTAGCCATTTAGTTTGGTGTTCAGTGGAAGGAGAATATTAACAGCGGCATCTTTTTAAGCCCTGTTTTATTGAAAGCATCTAGGAGTCTCTAGGTAGACAGTTCTGTGGAGTTCTGTGCAGGCACCCTGACACTCCAAAGGAGTGTGGCATAGGGCTCTCACTCATCAGGCTTTCCCTTCCACAGAGACAACTGGCAGGCAGCTGAAAGGACTGTGCAAGTGACGGGACTTTATCTGCAGTAGGTTCCCTTGAGGTAAGCGTTAGTAGCCCCTGTAGCACCAGATTATCACAGTTTAGTTGTTTTTTTTCTTCCCCCCCAAATTAATACACACTGAGTCCTGAAAAATTGTAGGTTTAGATCAAATGTACTTGTCAAAGTACATTTTTTCAAAAACCATATCAAGAATGTTTTCTTGAATTTTGGAACATTTCTTGATATTTCCACAGGTTTGGGTCTCTGTAGTAATTTCACATGCCTCCTTTTTCATAGAGTTTTATGTTTAGGTATTTCTCTTTTATGTTCACTAGACCTGATGTTTTTGATAGTTTTTTTTTTTTTAATAGAAAAACAGGAAAAGTTAGATCACCTATAGTGGTTATGTAGTTCTGCCTTCTTTTTGGGTACCCATATTCCCAATATAAGCTGTAGATGCAATATTTGAATTCTTCCAAAAGAATCAGTTTGAAAGAAAATAACCACCTCCTGTCAAAGAATTCTAAGGCTCACTTTTGGCTGTATTTTTCGTTATAAAAGTTTTTTTAAGACCTTAATAGTATTTGCACTGAAATACAATTTGGGTAACTGTTGGATGTACTTGGCTTTCTTTTGACATTTGGGGTCAACAGTAGAAAATTTTCAAAATCTTTTGACTTTTGCTGTTTTGTGTTCAGCATCTGGAATTTTTACAAAATAATGATTAAGTGGCATAATATTTTGGAAATGACTACAGATTATATGTTTTCCTTAAAATTTGAAGAAGGAAATTTGGGGCCAGGGGTTTGTCTTTTAAGAAGTGATTTGTCTGGAAGATTTTGCTTCACTATGAGATGACTTAATTAATGATTTCCCTTGGGGTGATACTTCATATACATCACAGTACAGATTCTCATATAGGTCATGAAGTATTGTTGTTGAAACAAAGAGCTATAGGCTAGAAGTACTTCTTTTTTACCCAGTACACGTAATAGTAAAGTTTATGTAGTATTCCATTGTCTGCTGATGTCATTTTATTCTTTTGGTAATCCATCCCCTGAACCATAACATTTTTTATTTTTTAAGATAATAGTTTTTGTTTTTATGGACAGCATTAGAAGGTTTATTATTAATTATTTTTAAATAGCATTCTCTACCACCCACCCTTACCTCTCCCTGATCTCCATTCTCTTAGCTTTTGTTCCTGCTATTTTTTTCCACCTTATAATATAAATAATATGCATATCTTGCTTTTTTGGTTCATTGATTGAACATTTTACTTCCTTTTAGTATTTATGAAGATTTTAGCCTACTAATAATATCCCCCTGGTTTCTAACCTCTTCCCAGTACTGTTTTTCAGACACTAAGAACCTCTTGTTTTCATCTATCCTTTTACTATTAAAAGTGAAAAACATCTGATATTCACTGTTAGGTTGATTACTTCAGCTGAAATTTTCATTGTAGTTTATATATGAATCACTTCATACATGAGCTTGCCTTTTATTTCTAAATGTAAAGTTGTAAAACAAGAAGGGTTTTCTTTTGATGAAATTGTCCGGTCTTGTACGAAAGAAATTGCATCAGTCTTGTTTTGCTTTATTTTACATCACTCTGTGGCTGTTCAACAGTCTCCAAAAATGTATTTTCAGTAAGCATTTATTACATATCTGTTATCTTCTAACCTCTATGTCTAAAGCACAGAATATAAAAATGAGTAGGACACAGTTCTTGCTTTCACATGAGATCAGTGTCTAGTAGGGCAAATAGTTACATAAGCAGTGTGGGCTGTGCTACAGCGGATGTAAGCACAAGGTACTATGGGAGGAAAGAGCAAGAAACCTCTAATTCCATCTGCCTCCTGGGGAGAGGTAGGCAAAAAAGAAAGAGAGGTCTTCCCTCAAGAGATGACAGTTGAGTCCTTAGGAAAGCCTGTGGGTTCATCTCAGAGGACAAGGACAAAGAATGAGAAGAAAGCAGGCAGGGGTACTAGGATGTGCTTTTGCATGGAAGTATGGCACATGGCGGGCTGCAGTCCATGGGGTCGCAAAGAGTTGGGCATGACTGGGCGATGGAACAACAGCAGCATGGTTTTGTTCAACATGTAGGGCAGTGATTATCAATCCTAACTGTCCTTTAGCTCCTCTTAGGAGCTTGGGGAAAGAAACAAAAATGACCAAAGCAGAGGAGGCTATCTGGAGCTCCAGAAGGAGGTCATATTGAAGATGAAGACTTAGTGGGTTTTGGCACACAATAGTGCAAAGACATTATTTGCCTTTTTTATAGTATTGCTAAAACATACTTGGCTTTTAAATTTTCATTTCCTCATGAGTTTACAGTGAAAATTTCCAAAGGCTGTAAGATTTGTGATGACATAGTTACTCTGATGATTTATTGATTGTGTACTTGTGTGTTCTGGTGTCTTTAATTTTAACTGCTAAAATGTTAAAATGATAGTTATATCCCACATAAACAAAGACTCTTTGAGGTCCTCAACAGTTTTTAAAAGTTTGTAGACAGGTTTGAGACCCAGAAGTTTAAAAACTGCTTTTATGGATGAACTCATCCTGATAGTGTATGTAATGCTAGGAAATGTGAGCAGGCAAGATGGGTGTGCTGGAGAAAGAGTAGGAGGAGGTAAAGGAGTGGATACAAGAGCGAGAGGAAGAGGAGAATAACGAGGAGGATTAAATGTTATGAAAGTCAACTAAGATAATGACTAAAAAGTGACTAAGAGTTTGTCACTTAGGCTTAGTTCTAGTAGCCTAATGAGAGCAAGATGCCAGATAATTGTTGATTAAGGAGCAGTTGGACTGTGAGCAAATACTGACTGCTCTTGGAAGAACCTTGACTGTGAAGAAAAGGAGGTGGTATCCAGAGTCTTAACAGACTTGACTTATTATGTGCTAGGGAGAGGATCATAGCAGACCTTTGATGGGACAGGGACAAGCAAAGTGCTGAAGAGAGAGGCGGAACTAAAGTAAACTTCCCAGAGGTGGTATGAAGTTCCAGACTCGTTGGACAGGACTGACTAGGAACAAGCTTTCCTCTGATCATTGATCTTCCATACCTAATAACCTTTCTCTTTCTTCAGAGTGAAAATAGAGATTATCAACTGAAGGAAAGAATCTTGAGTGGATTGTGGATGTGAGGAGAATGATAAAAAAAATTTATGGGAGAGACAAGGAAGGAGCTTACAGGGGAAAGGGGTCACTCACCTTATTTAAATGTCTTAAGATGCCTGAAGGAATTAGAGACATGGTCTGTGTGCCTTACCTACTGGCAGATTATTATTATTTCTGGCAGAAAGTACAGATTATTTTATGAGGATTAGATAAGGAGCCCATGTTTCCTTTTATCAGTGTATTTCCACCCATTTACCATTCTTCTTGCAGGATCCTTTTGTCTCCTTTTATACAACCTTTGTATAACCTGAATCATAGTTGAACAATTTAAAATACATATTATCTTTTTCTAGAACTAAAGTTTTTTTCTCCCCTTCATTCTGCGTAATTATCAGTTCTTTTTTTTATTTTATGTGCTCAGGCGCTCAGTTGTGTCTGACTTTTTGTGACTCCATGGGCTGTAGTCTGCCAGGCTCCTCTGCCCATGGAATTTTCCAGGCAAGAATACTGGAGTGAAGTGCCGTTTCCTTTTCCAAGGGATCTTCACAACCACGGTTTGAACCCATATCTTTTAGTCTCCTGCTGTAGAATGAAAACAGCATTCTTGTTAGCAAGAATTAAAACAACATTAATCTTCAACATCTCCATCAGAGCTCTTGGATGACCAGGTGTATTGTCAGTAAGCAGTAATATTTTGAAAGGAATCTCTTTGTTTTCTGAGCACTAGGACTCAGCAGTGGACTTAAAATATTTAGTAAACCATGTTGTAAACAGATGTGTGATAATCCAGGTTTTGTTGTCCGTTTATAGAGCACAGGCAGAGTAGT